AAACCGAGAACGAAACGAATGGAATTGATGGGCAACACAGTTAAACCCAGCTGCTGTCTCTGACTTCTATAGCCTCCGAAGCGCTGAAAACAAAGGGCATAGCTTCGATAATCGAGATATTTTAATGGCCATATAAGAATTGCAATATCTTGACATGTTCTAATAAAGAAAAAGATACATCACAAAAGGAACATAATACGTGTCTTTTAAAAATCGGCATCAATGTTCCATAGCAGCTTAGTCACAAATGAAAATCCTCAAAAATTAATTATCAAATTATGAACCTCATAAGTCTATCTTTACAGACCATATACTTTAATGACCATATAAAATTGCAATATCTTGACATGTACTATTAAAGAAAAGGATATATCACAAAAGGAACAAAATCATTTTGTGCCAACAAAGAACGCGTCTTTTAAAAATCGGTAGCAATTTTCCATAGTGTCATTGTCACAAATGAAAATACTCACAAATTAATTATTCAAATTATGATGAACCTCAATAAATCTATCTTTACAAGTAGCCAAATGAACCAAAAAGAGAGAGAAAATAAGAAAATAGTCCAGAATTTTTAACATGACACGAATTATCACCAAAACTAACCTGATTTATCCAGCTGATCATTCTCGACTGGTTATGGCTCGATACCAAAGGTCTCGACACCTTCTCTTTCGATGTTCGTTCAATCAATGCATTTCCCTCTCTATCATCTCCATCAATAACAATCTCCAAAGTACCCTTCTTTGGCGAACTCCACGGCCTTCGACTACTTGCCGATCGATCACCATGATAATTAACTTCATCTACTCTGATCTCTTCTTGGCTGGCACCCTCATTAATTGGAACAATTTCTGAAAGCTTCATTTCTTGATTCGGCACTTGGACTTTGGAACTAATTTGAGAATCAACGGAGCTATTCTCCCTCGTGTGGGTTTTCTCATTGGAGGCCATTTGTGGAGTCCCAGAAGTTCCGGAGAGGAAAAGTGCCAGGTCATCACATTCTTGTTCGTCGAGATTTACCCAACGAAAAGGCTTTCTACCGTTTTCGTTAAACGATTCTTTGAAAGCTGTCTCGACGTTTGAGATTTGATCTTCAATGGCCGAAACAAATTGGGTGTGTCGGTTGACAGTGATGTCATCCCCATGGCTTCTGTAGCTCATACGAACAGCTCTTTCAAACTCTTCTAACTACATGTGATGGATAAAAAACAAAGTGTAATTATAAAAAAAAAACTACACACACTAAAACATCAAATAACAATTTACAAAAATGACATTAATTACAATATGCAGTGCTAACCTGCCATTTGGCAGTGCCTAAAGCCATTTGAAGCTCTCTCCCAAGTTCATCTAAATGTTGTGGTGGCACTAATCCTTCTTTCCTTGCTCTCAGCCATGTCCTATAAGCTGATTCCATTCTACCGAAGAGAACAAAAAAAACGATACCTTCAGCTAATAATTTTCGACTAATTGGATTAAGCTGTTTAAAATGTTGTGCACAGAACAAATCTTCCATAACAGAGTACCAAATCCCCCATCTTCTTTCTTATCTCACCATAGAAACAATCTCAGATCATAATCAAAACAAAATCTCAAGCTGTTAATTTGATAGCACAAGTGTTAACAATCACTGAAAATAGACACACACACACACACACACATTTTCTTCCTCTAATGTCAACATCTGCTTTCGAGTTTGCTTATCGATACCGAACTGATAACTTGAATTTCAACCTCTGCCTAGGGTTTGAGTGTCTCACAGATACAAAAGAGTTACTCCTTACAAGTTACACAAATCATTCACCAAATGCTCTGAGCATATGAAAAACACCCAACAGTTCACAAAGAACAAAGCAAAATTGAGACATACCCATCACCTCCAAACCTCAAAACCCATTAAAAAAAACACCAAAAACAAGAGAAATTTAAGGCAAGAAATACTGCAAACAACACTAAAGCAGCAAACTTTACCAAATTCTAGGCACAAATAAATACA